AAATATCCGTATGACTTATAGAAATATAGTTCCATTAATATTTCAAGTTCCAGATATCCTAAAGAGATACAGTTTGAATAGTTGTATTTCAATTGCAATGCTCCCTCTATTGGCTTGTCTGTGTCACTCCTTTTACCATTTGTATTGTTACACCTAGGAATTGACAGACTTGAACATATATTTTATCAAATAAATAAATTGACCTTTGCAAAACAAATCACCATTGTCTCTTTCGCCTGATCTCATACACATCAGAACTGTACTAATTTGTATGCCTCTAGGAACTTTAGTATATCACATTGGCCTTGTCCATCTAAATTGTCTCCCTGCTACTAGTTCTTCGTCTTTATCTTTCTCCTGAGGTAAAAACGACATATAACAATACAAAAGTTTTTTATAATTTAGGCCATTGAATTCAAGTATTTTTTAAGTTTTGTTCCTATTAAATATTAAGAAAATAGTTATGTTCTCTTCAAAAGAGACATAATTAATTCGCAAAATTTTATATGCTAAATAGTTTAAGAACTTATCTTTAAAGTAAACATTTTAAAGATTAGATAATATTAATTATACAATTACTTCTTATATATATTTAATCTTTGCAATTGGTTAGACAAATTTAAATTTTGGGATCTTTTGTAATTTTGACTATATATATAATCTAGTTATTTTGACTAAACTTCTTTTAATTGCAAATTGAACAAATTTATTTTTTTTGGAACAATTGCAAATCTTGAAAGATATATTATTTAGTTGCTGATATGAAGAGTTTGAATATTAAGTTGTAAATCAATAAAAATTTTTGCCTTTTTTCAAAAAGAGTAATATTGAAATATTTATAGCTAATAAGAATTATATTTAATTATTTTTTGTAATTTTATAGGTTAATTTAATAAGTTTATTAATTTTGGAATTGAACTATATTGCAAGCAAATTTGTTAAGATAAAATAAAAAAAGAAAGTATTTGAGTTTGCCTATAATTACTAATTATAGATTTGATGTTTTATCTTGCCTTTTCAATTTTATTTAAAAGGTTCTATTAGAATTATATCAGTAGTTTGATTGAAAGCTTTTTTATTGGACTTGAGTAGATTTTTATAAGAAATATGCATTTTCAAGTATTTTATACTTTTATGGAATTTGAATATTTGAATTAATAGATTGTTGAATTTGATTGAATTACCAAGATCATGTTTAACTTTGATGTTGAAAATTATTTTGATTTTGTCTTTATTGCATGTAATATTGTTCAATATAAAAAATTAATTGGTGATTGAGAAAAAACTTTCTATTAACTGTTTACTGTCTGCATTAAAAGCTAGATTATTTATGTATGCCAGGACATTAGAGATAGTATAACTTTAAATAGATTTGTAACAGTCTAATTTGAAGACAAGAGAATTATAAAATACTATTTAAATAATAGAAGACAATGTTTCACTTTACTCAATTTTATTGTTTATTGTAAAAGATTCTGTTGTTTCAAATAGTATATTAATAAAATCTTTTCTGTTGTTGAGAAAATAAATGAATAAGCTAGTAATAGTTATAGAGAAATTGATTCTTTTAAAAGATTTCTTAATAGCTAGTATAAGTGTTAAGTTAAAGGCTTTTATAATATTTAGTAATACTAATTAGGATTTTTTATTATTTGTGTTGGCTGTATTTAAAACAAAATAAAATATTGTAAAAGGTTCCATAGTGTGATTTGAAAGATCAGCAAAGTTAAGTTTTGATAAAATATTATTTAATTTGAGAATCTTGATTAATCTCTTGTTTATTATGCCAGTAAAAACTTTTCTAACTGAGTCAATGAGAGATATAGGTTTTATATTATTGAGTTTATAGCTCCATATGAGCTTTTTAGAAATGAAAGCAGTAGTAATTTGTTTCTATGATTTGAAAATAAATGTGAATAATAAAATCCAATTAAATATAAAAATTATATATTGAATAGTTTTTTTGCTTATTAGTTTAATAATGTTATAATTGATTTGCAACTTTTTTGAAGCTTTGTTTTTGGATAGTTTGTTATTAACTTCTTGAATTATTGCTTAATCAAAAAATTTGATGACTTCATTATATATTTCTTGATTAATTGGTTAAATGAAATATTCTTTGTACTAATATAAAAATTGGTCTAGGTAAAAGCTTCTGCATTGGAAATGTTTTAAAAATATTTGTTAATAATTTCTTATATGAGATCTGGATAATCTTCTATTTGTTTTTATTATTAATAAATTTGTAAAGATTTAGCTTTAGCTTAATAATGTACCTAAAAGTAATTTTAATTTTTCAGAATTTGAATTAGTCAAGTTTGCTTGATATTATATAATAGTCTGTAAAGATTAGATTGTAGTCTTTTACTTTATATCAGATGACTTTGGCAGTAAGGTTTCTGGAAACACATGCTTGATTAATATAAGTACTAGTAGTGGTAATATATATAAATATCTTTTTATCAAATTGTTGATTGATATCCAAGTAGTTTTTAAGATGTTTATAGATAGATTGTTTAAGTTTTGAAGTTAGAGCATCTATAGATGGACTATTTTTGGAATATAAGTTAAATTTTCTCATTATTATATGGTAAAGTTTGTGATGAATGGCAAGTCCGGTTGCTTGGTAAATTTGTCTGATAATTAGTTTTCTTTCTTTTCTATCATGAGGAAGATTTATAGCTAAGAGTTGAATATTTGTTTTTCCTTTAAATTTTATGATAATGGATGAACAGTATTCTGAGATATTACAGATCTTGAATACATGGGGTCAAATCCTTTTAATAATTAGTAGTGTGTTATTCTTTGCCATAATGATGGATTTTCCATAGATTAGACAATTGTCATTAATGTTTTTAGAATAGAAGTTTTCTTTTTTGAGCTTGGTTTCTATGTATAGAGTGATTGATATATTGCTTGTGACATTTGCAAGAGCTCTTAATTTGACAGAATTATTGAGACCCATTGTATTAATAGTAGTAAGTAATAAGATTTTTGGTATTGTTTTGATTTGAGGCGGGTTCTAGTTGATTGGAGAAGTTGATGGTAGAATGTTGGGTTGTGACGTGATGTGATGTGGGTGAGTTGGGGTAAGTTGTTGTGAAGAGGTTAAGGTTGTAGGAGGAATCAGTGAAGTGGTTGTTGTTTGTAGATATAAATAGTACTGTACACAGTTTCTTTTATTGAGAACGCGAGTTTCGCACGTGATACTTGATGATTCGTTTATACCAATCAAAATACGTACTGTGACGACTAACTACGTGAGTAAAGATAATATTAGTGTTAATTAAAATTAGATGTTTTGTAAAGTTTTACTCGTATAGTTCTTTTTTTCTTTTCTTTTTTGTTTTCTTAGTAACATTATTGAATGAAAAAAGGTACAAATAAAAAGGCAATAAGAAGCTTGTTTAAATTATAATTAATACAGCATATTAAAAATATAGCTTTATATATTATAATATTAAGTAGGAAAGATGCACGTTATATAAAAATATTATATATTAAAAATTTCTTTAAAAAAAATATAAATTACAATATAATATTAACGACTAGGTGCGAAACAAAAATCAAAAGAAAACAATCACAAAAGTTTAAATTGGGAATGTAATAGTCCTCGAATTTATTCTATATATTTTAGTATGGATATGGTCTTTCCAATCGTCGGGTTCAGGAATTTCTTTCTTTTCTATTACTATAGAAAATAAGAATCTAAATTTTTTTGGAAGAATCATCACGCCAGACGAAAAATAGCTAAGTAAGTATCTCAAAAAGGGATAATCATATTCTAAAGTAAGTTCCGTATTTAATACGAATTTTTTTACAAGTCTATCCGCATATTTGAAGGAAACATTGTGAAATGGCATCTTAGAGCTTTCCTAAAGTTAAAAGATATTTATCAAACTATCCACTAAACGTCAGTTAAATGAGAATCTCATTAAATTCCATACCTTTTTTTCTATGTCGTGCTTCCACGAAATCTTTGTGATCCCTCGATCAGTATTAGTAAGGAAAACAGAAGAAGTATCCTCCCTAATTTTTTTTTCTCGACCCATATTTAAAGTGGCTGCGTGATCATAAAAAGAGACCACCAATGATATGCTATTGTTTTGTGGAACTTCTTTATGAGCTTCTAATGTAACGTTAACTTTGACAGGATAATAACCTTTGCCATTGTGAGCTTTTAATTTTTCAGATAACATCATCCCACCTAAAAGACACATGTCAGAGACTTCAAATATCCAATAATCCTTATTTTCTGGGTGCCACATTTTGAGCTTAAAACGTATTTCGGGGATTTGATTTATAATATCGTCAAGCGTGATCTTAGCATAATAATATACACCAATAGCTCTATCAGGAAACATAGTATTCGTGTCATTTGGGTGGTCCCCATTACCATCTCCCTCATTATTTTCTTGCCCTTCGTTTTTTTTTTTTTTAAATCCACTATCCTTTCTATGATCATCCTTATTATCTCCGTGGCCCATGTTAAAATCGTTTTCTTCGTTTCCATTAGATTCTCCGTTTTCATCAACAAAACTGCCATCTCTGTTTTTTCCATTACTCGTGCTTGAGCTAGGTTCATTATTGTCTTCATTACTTTCATTTTTTTCTACCTCAAAAATTCCATTGTTGACATCCTTGTCCCTATTATTTTCATTTGCACGGCAATCTTGTTTGTGGGAACCATTTTCGCCGCAAATAATTATTTCTTCAGGTGGTCGTTGTAATATTTTAAAAAAATCTTCAATAGTTTGTTCGGAGAGCTCAAAGGGTAACTTTTCGACATAGATAATGATTAAGGGATCTTTAGATGAATCTTCAAAGGTAATCCCTACTCCAATCGCACTGGGTGGAAGAATCTCAATGATTTCTTTCTCGTGTGAGTGTAACATTTCCAATAAATTAATATCAGATGGCTTGTTCCCGTCTACTTCACAATAAATATCTAAACCTGGTATGTTTACTTCATGTTGTCCATTGATCATAGTATCACAGGTGATATTTATTTTTATCGGATTTGACAATTTGGCTAAATTAATGTTATCAGAAACGGATTCAATTAATAATTTTTTTGTCGAATCGGTTATTGCATTTCCATAAATGCACAAATTGTTCAGAGTAGTATTCTTGCATAGAGCATCAGCTAGCGTTTTTCCTGCGGATTCTCCGATTTCGTTCCCACTTATATCTAAACTGATTAGGGTGCTATTCTTGAATAGAGCATTGGCTATTGATTTTCCTGCCGATTCTCCTAAATTATTTAGACTTATATTTAATTCGGTCAGAGTGATGTTATTGCATAGAGCTTCGGCCAATGCTTTTCCTGCTGATTCTCCTATTTTGTTTCCAGTTATGTTTAAATGAGTCAGTGTTGAATTCTTGAATAAAGCATCAGCTAGTGCATTTCCTGCTGATTCTCCGATATTGTTTCCAGCCATATTTAAAACTGTCAGAGTTTTATTTGTGCATAGAGCCTCAGCCATTTGTACTCCTTCCAATTTTCCTATCCCATTCGAAGAAATGTTTAAATTGGTTAGGGTGTTGTTTTTACAGAGAGCTTTAGCCAGTTCTTTTCCTGCCAATTCACCCATTCTGTTTAAAGCTATGTTTAAAATAGTCAAGGTGGTATTTTTGCACAGAGCCTCGGCCAGTGCTTTTCCTGCTGATTCTCCTAAATTATTGTTTCTAATATTCAAACATTTCAGGGTAATATTCTCAGATAGAGCTGCAGCCAATGTTACTCCTGCTGATTCACCCAAATTGTTACATTCTAGACTCAAAGAAGTCAAGGTAGTATTCTTGCATAGAATTCCTGCCAGCGCCTTTCCCGCCGATTCTCCAATACTATTGTAACTAATATCTAAAAATTTTAGGATTTTATTCTTGTCTAGGGCCTTAATCAATGCCACTTCTATAGAATGATCTAGACCGTTACGCTTTAGGTTTAATTGATAAAATTTCAATGTTAATATTTCATTTCAAAGTATTTAATTGCTAAAGCCACTTGATTCCCTTACCGAATAATTTAATTGACAAGATAAATTTAAATATGTAGAAGAGGTATTATTGCACGAGGACTTAATCGATTCTATTGTATCCAATTTCTTTTTCTCAGGAATACTATTAATAAACTATTCGGTGTAAAGTATGACATCGAGTTAAATAGGTTATGCATAAGACATTGCTTATAGGTATGTTTAAATTGTTCAATACCTTTTCGGATTCCTCAATTTCAGCTTCCTCAATTTCAGTTTCCTCGATTTCTTGCAGCAGTGATTTACCTTTAGAATTCATGTTCACATTTATCTTAGCATTCAAGGTTTCTACGTAACTATCCATCTCATTTATTAACTCATAATATGTATGAACTGATTTATTCGTAAAATGTTTTCTTGAATGAGACAAGTCATCAATGAACTCTTTTATCTTTTCAAGATTAGCTAAAAGTTTCTGCATTGTAAAATAGTTCTCTTGACTATAAAACCCAGTATCTTTATTCATCTTAAGTTCCATGACATGATACAATTTGTATTTAACAGAATCAACCCTGCTCACCAGATTACCACAAATTAGTCGATTTCGCCTCGCGAGATGGTATAAAACCCTCATTCTTTCATTAGTCATTATTATTTTGGCGAAAATTTTGACAAATTCTCGACTTATTTCCTTCGACATACCGGAGGAAGTAATGTTTGAACTATGATCAATTTCCATATTTTTGTTTTAAATTTTCTTAGGGGAAATCTTTTGATATTGTACAGTATACGCGTACTGTATCTGGTTAACTTAAAGAAAATAGCACCTTTTTATAATATATATTGTGACACAAATTTTTAATGTGTAATTTGCGTCACTCCAGTACAATCACCTCATCTTAACTTTCCTCAAGATGGCGTGACTATCGATATATGATCTGTTCACACCTCTTCGCATTTTGTAAAAATACAGTCTTAATACGTATTCTTTCTTCATTTAGGCAACGCATAACAAAGTAAAAATTATTTGTCAACTAAACGTACTTTATAATAAATATACGCCTTCTACTCTAATAATATTACTGTACACGTAATTTTGCATTTGATTATCCGCAGCCTTCTGGAGTACTGTATATTGTACGTCATATGAAAACAAACTACAGTATAATTATGAATGTATCCGTAATATTTAGCAGCCGATTACGCCAAATATTTCTCTATCTTTTTTTTTTATTTTGAAACGACAGATGTCAATGAAACATTTCACGATATAATGACCTTTTTATAAAGTAAAATTATATTGTTAATTAGAATAATTGATTGGGTTGGGTAACCCAACCTGGGTTAATATATAATTGGATTATTATTTTTACTACTAATTACGTATGTTTGATTTGAAGGAATTCGGAGTATACTGTAGTGCCAAAGTTTTTATTACGTGACATAGGTTATTATCACGAAGATCACCTCACATGTGATTTGTGGGATAAATTTGAGTATTATGTACACTGACTCAAAAAATAGTCCTAATATTTCAATTTTTTTTATTAAGGCGCATTAATTTAAATTTTTATAAATATAAAATATCATTATATATTATTATTAAAAACATATATATTTTAATTTTATAGACAAATTTATTTTGTATAAATTTATTTTATTATTTTTACGCAAATTACTGTACATTAAAAATAAGCAAATATTTGTATAATTTTTTTATTAAACATATTGATATAAAATTTAATAATCAGTATATCCTTCCTTTGCTTTGATTACTGCTGGCATACTATGAATTAATCCTACACATTTTTCAATAGGAATTTTATTCTATTCATTTTCAATTCTATTCCAAAGTAGTGTTGTAATAGGTCAGGTCAGAACTGTAAGAATTGTGGGTCTTGGCCTGACCCGTAATACAAAATTAGGACTATAAGAACCGTGGGTCTATTTGATATATTACTGATCTACTTGTAATTAAATCACTAAATCAATCAATTTGATTTATTACTGATCTACTTGTAATTAAATCATTAAATCATAAAATTAACTAGTTTTGATCTCATTATGACGATATAAAAATCAAAAAAAAATATAAATAGATTTGTACAAAAAAATTTAAGCTTTTTATGAAAAAAATGAAGTTTTCTAATATCGAAAGTGAAGATGATACTATTAATAGTTTTTCCGATGAGCAAGACAAAGAAATGTATAATGCAAATTCTTTTGATATGATACTTGGAAATCAAGACTTAGTAAATGAAACTTCAATAAGTTATGCAAGCTAAGATTCGATAGATGAACCTTCTACAAGTAATATAACGGAAAATTCATTAACAGAAGAAATTTCAACAAGTTGTACAACAAAAATTTCATTACCTATATGGCAATTTTTTGATAAAAATTAAACTACTGGAATTCCTTCTTGCCACATATGTAAAATGTCTTTTAGAAAAAAATTTTCAACTTCAACATTACAACAACATTTACAAAGATGACACTTATCAAAAGCAGTTAATTTATAATCAAAAAAACTTTAAGTCTTACATTCAGATTCATATAACAAAAATGATCAAAATGAGTGAGATAATTTATTAATAAATTAAATTATATGCACTTAACAAGCTTTTCATATTGTGGATAACAAATATTTTCAGGCTATAGTTCATAAATCAGATTCACAATATTTAATACTGAATCGAACTAAAATTAAAATTTTAATTATGAATCAATTTGATGAACAAAGAAAAAAACTCATAAAAAATTTAAACAAACTTTCAACAAAATTTGCTCTAACAATAGATCTGTGAACATTGATAAAAAAAAAACTTTTATGGGTATAACAATTTATTATCTTGATAATCAATAGAAACATCAAAGCTTTTTATTAGATATAGTTTATTTATTTTTTTTTTTTGCAAGGCACTTCTCAAATTGTGATCTTTATTAATTATTGATTCAATTTTTATAAGAGAAAACTTAGTATAAAATTTACAATAGTGATACATTGAGATATGTTGCTATAAACATCGACCTGCCTATAAGTAAATATATTTTATAAAACCTTAATTTGGCAAAATTTTAGAAGTAACTATTTACTGAGTTAAGGGGTCAGTGCCTTCTTAATAATTTAATTTTTTATCCAGATCTGATGAAAATAAGTTTTCAGTTAGTGAAATACAGTTGAAAAAAATATTTGGGAAAAGTATATTGGAGTATCAGTTATGATTGTTGTTGGTTTGTTTTGTTGTTGTTGAGTTAGTGGATAATTTGTTGGAAGTTGATGTGGTTGTTTTGATTGATTTTTTTTGGTGAAAGATGATGCTGAGATTTTTTTCCTGGAGGATCATATTCTCATTTCTGGATTTTCATATGTTGTTATATAATGGTTCAAGAAGTTTATTAGAGATATGTATGTGTTTGAAAATTGAAATGGATTTTTGGTTTGGTGTTATAGTTAATGGGAAGGTGAGACTGATAGCTATTGATATTGTGTTTTGGATGTTGTTGAAGTACTGTAATGTAAATTGTGTTCAGGAAAGTTGTTGATTGTTTCTTTAATAATTTGGTATATTGAAAGTGTAGTTGTCTTCAGAATATTATTGTTAATAGGGCAAGTCCAGATATGATTTATGGTTTCTTCTGTGGTATTGCAATATGGGCAAAGATTGTTTAAGTATAAATAAGGTTTGGTGATATGTAGGTGGGATTTGATGGGAAGACTTTGTGAGATAATTTTGAGACAGAAGTTGTAAATAGCAGATTCAAAAGTGTTTGTAGGAATTAATATTGATTTGAGAAATTTTAGGGTATAGAAAAGATTTTGAAAGTTGTGTTGAAATGTTATTTTGATTCTTTTTGAATTTAATATGTTGAAAGGTGATTGATTTTTTTTGTGTACTTGCGAATGGAGGGGAGTGGTAATCCAGAATAGTTAATTAAAGTATATTGGAATGGTTGTGAATTAAAAAGTAAGTTTATTTGGGTGGTTATGTTGTTGTGTTGTGGTGGTGAATTGCGAGGTGATTTGTAGAAAGTACAGTAGGTTTGTAAAAATTGAATTGTTTGTTTAAGATTGTTAATTATATCTTTGTATGGTGTTTTGCAGTTGGTATGGAAGTTTTTGAGTTGGGAGAGAATATAGTTTTGCTTATTTTGTAGTTTTTTAAGAAAAAGATTGCCGTTGTTAAAGATTTCATAATGAGAATCATTTGGATAGTAAGAAGAAAAGATGTGATTGAGTTGTATGAAAGTTCACATGTGTAAGTTGTTATTTCAAAAAGATCAGTCCATTTAATGTTGGTTTTGTTTTGGTTTGTTTCGATTGAGAGATAAAAAAATTTTTCATTTGTTTTGATTGAGCAGTTAGGAATTAAGTTTTGGTGTGATTGTAGTTTGAAGGTTTTTTCGATGAGGAATTGTTGTAGTGTTGAAGGGATAGAAATAATGGGAATGTTATAAGTGGGTAAAGGAATTTTATATTTGGTTGAATTGGTTATATCTCTGAGAGTAGAGCAAGTTTTATATGACTTTTGTTGGACAGAAATATGAAGTGAGATAGAGTTTGTTTTGTTTATTTGAAGTTGACAGGAGTGTAAGGTTGAAGTTTGGTTAAAGGAACAACTGGTGCATTTGATAAGAGTCAAGGATCTGTTAAGATCGTTCATTAGGGGATATAGATAATAATTAATAATAATTTTGTTTTTAGAAATGGTTTTTTGTTTTTTTTCAATTATAGTTGTTTGGATATTTCGATTGCTTCCCAGTTTCTTTTTTTGTTTTTTTGATAATTGTTTTGAATATTTGTTAAGCTTATGCTTTTTGAAGTGAGATGTTTAAGTTTTTTGTACTATTGTAGTGTTTTTCCTTGAAGATTTTTTCCTATATGGCTGGCTATGTGGTGCCATTCAGTAAGTTGATTGCTTTGAAAACTAAGAGTTGTTCAAGATAGTAGATTTGATGTTTGAAGAGAAGTTTTGAGATGTAGGACCAGTTTGAGTCCCATATGAGATCATAAAGTGGTATAGTTTCTCCTAGAAGTTTATGATTACAGGATAGTGTGTTACAGAATTGAATTTTGTATTTATGGGCAAGTTGAATAGTGTGAAGTGTGGTATTTGGTGTGTATGTTTTAATAAAATTTTTGAAGGGACAAGATGAAAAAGTGTTAAATAGTTGTAGAGCTTAGATTTCTTGGAATTTGAGTTTGGAAATAATAGAATTAGTTAGGGAGTAGTACAAGTTGGAAATAAGCACTTTATTTTGTAGATCAGCAATAGGTTTGATATTGAAAATAAAGGAATTGTAAAACCAATTATGTGAAAAAGTTTTCTTAATATGAAATTTATGTTTTATAGTGAAGTCAATTTTCCTTTGTATTGATATAAGTTGGTTGGAGATTAAAAAGGTAGTTGGAAGTTTGAATTCAATTTGTGGAAGGAGGACTTTGTTGTATATTGTTATACTTGATTTTCACCCAAGATCATCACTACACTAGTCGAAATGAATTTATTCGGCATAATGCCACTCGTCAATCATTTGTCAAAAAAGTATATAATTCAGCTAATCAAAATTATATAACTTTTATCTTCGGCTATAAAGTGGCGTATAATTTATTCGGCACATAAATGGTACACTTTTTTTAAACCTCATTTTGAAGAAGTTAATATTTCGACAGTA